ATAATATCCTTACTTGGCAGACAAGGCAAATTAAGCTGAGAGTGTGAAGTTACTTGTTCGGGTTCAAAAAACACGAAACGGAGGGGTGAGGGGCTGGTGGGGGGAGAAGAGATGTAAAACCCACAGTTTTGGTCTATCTCCATTACTTTATCACCTCCCTATTGTTGATTAAAACACTATGTTTGTCTTTCTTTGGGGCAGTCAGTCTTTATAATTAGATTTAATTTCAAAAGACACAAAGAAGAAAGATTGGAATTAAGTGTGTTTTCAGACTCAGGGTCCTTTTCTACCCATTACTAAGATGAAAAATTGGAATGTGGTTTGATTTGGATTTCTGTTCACTGTGCTCCCATTTCATCCATCCTGCCAGTGTCTCTACTAAGACACTACATGGTAATCATTAATTTTATTATTTTCTGGAATTTCCTCAAGGGTATTTTTTAACCTTTTATATCCCAGCATAGTGCTCAATATATGTTTAACAAATGAACAAGTTAGGAAATTTAGGCAAACCTAGAAATGCTGACTGACAGACAGAGGACCATTGACCCCTGGTCTTAGAATAAATTAGAATAAGCATAAATCAAAATACAGGCAAAACAAGAATTTTTAAAACTATTAAAATGCAAAATATAACTCTGACCCTACTTTTTATTGGCTATCATAGTATCACTATGATGCTATCAGTTATGGTAGCTTGGACATAATCATTCTATAGCTGTTTTTTTTTAATTTACCTTTAAGGCTTGCCGAAGATGACCAGCTTATTACTTGTATAGAAACAATGCAGGTGATTGGTATGAAGAATGGAGAAGTGCTGAGAGGGTGAGATGTTACCTAGGATATTCCTGGAAGAGCTGGCTTCAAAGTCTAGACTTATATAAAAGGGAATTTGAACTAGGATAGGGCTTCTCTTCTCATGGCAAAAGCCCCTATCTTCTTTTCCAGATGGGCATGGGCCCTGGTCTGAAGAGAAAACTATTTCCTACTTTCTCTCATTGATTGAATAGGGTAGGAGGGCTAATTTTTGAAAAGGTTAAAGCAAGTACAGTATAGACTAAGAGAAGTCTTAATTGACAGAACTAAGTATTAGTCTGAGAGACCTGATTTTGAACCTACCTCTATAATTAGATAGTTTTGTCCTTTTAAAAAATTATCGTTATAGTTTTGTTTTGAATTTTCCACTTTGAATTACTTCTCATGCAGTTCAAGTGATTAGTGATTAAAGGTCATATGTGTTGAGTCTCCATAGTTGCCAGCTTATTGGACACTTCTCTGCCATCCGGCCTGTTTGGTAGCAGCACATGAAGGCAGAAATACAAAGGAAAGGAAAGAGAGAACTTCCATCTTTTCTTCATTTGGCATCTGAGTCTTTGAGAGCTCACGCTCAGCAATATAGTTCTGAATGCCGCCTTCAAGAAGCCTTTATGAGTCCACTTCGACCCGAGGAAAGTATATCAGAACATGTTGCAATTAAACCTATCTAAATTAATACGAGTCATTCTTCAGAATGTATCCTAGCTGATCCAGAATATAAATATAATATTATGGATGGCAGTATTTCAGTCTTTCTCACTGACTGCCTCACTTGAGTCCATTAAGCTTCTCCTAAACCCTGGTTATTAATCTGTGAGGTGGAGACAGTGATAATCCACCTTTCATCTCAAAAGGATATTAAAAAGTTTAGAAGCAGATTATTTCTTATAGCTCCCAGGAGAAAGACATTCTAAAAATATGAGTCAACTTGGCAGTGGTACAGTAAGGAAAAATTGCTAGTGGGTTGTTAAAATAAAGGTATAGCATGTAGTTAGAATCTATGCAGTTTAATATTTTGACACATAAATCACATTCTCTCCAGAACACTGGAGCCTAGGCTCTGTGGGTGAAGAACTCAAACAGTATAGAGGTTAAGAAAAGAGCTATATTATTTGGAAAACTTTGGTTCAAGGTTGATTTGATTATTGCAAAATGAGAATGGTGGGAAGTTTTTTGAGTACTAAATGCCAAGTAGCATGCTACGAACTTTAAACTTATCTTGTTTAATATTATAGTCACCCTAAGAGGTGGGTATGATTATTATGCCCATTTTGCAGCAGAAACTGGAGTGTTAGTGAAGTCAAGCAACTCGCTCAAGGTCTCACACAACTAGTAAGTGGAAGGGGACTAAAGTTTTGGTCAGTCTGAATTGGGAGCCTCTACTCTTTTTTTTTTTTGTGACCGGTAAGGGGATCACAACCCTTGGCTTGGTGTTGCT